CCTCAGGTGCCCTTCCGTGCATTATTTCAGGCACGAACGGGCACCTGAGTAGAAAAAGAATGCCCGTATTAAATTTCAAATACATTATATTCATAGAACATACTCTCTGAACTGTGTCTGTCATAAACAAGAACACGATTTGAACCGGATGATGCTCCCAAAATAGTTTTTTGACACAGGAAAGTTCACCTCTTGTAGTTTCAGAGTTATATCCTTGGACAAAGTTCAAAGTGCAATAATTCCAAAATAAGGCAAGGCAGATATAAGGTTCTTTGCACTAGACCTCTAATAACTTATAATCGACATCTATCTACCTACAAGTGTCTTGTTGATACCATTTATGGTTTCCGAGTAATGTCCCTGACAAAGTTTAAAATTTAAAAATAAACAAAGGACAATAACTCCAAATAATGCAAAGCATAGTTACCTTTCTTGTGCAATGCACATTTACCTATTGAGATCTTTCTACCTACAAAATTTCATGTTGAAATAACTTATGATAATAGTTATGTGTCGGACAAGATTTTTCTAAAAGGGGAGATAATTCAATTACAGGGCTAACCAGACTTATGGTTCTTTTGCACTGCACTTCTACCCAATGAAATCTGTCGACATACAAAGATCCATGTTGATATATCTGATGTTTTAGAGTAATATCCTGGACAAAGTTCAAAGAGTAAAAATAATGAAAGGGCAATAACTCCAAAATTAGGCAAAGCAGAGTAACTGTTCTGATGCATTGCACATCTAGTCATTAAGATATCTATCTTCAAAGTTTCATGTTGATATCTCTTCCAATTATATTATGTGTTGGACAAGATTTATCTCAAAGGGGAGATAATTCCTTTACAGGGCTAACCAGAGTTATTGTTCTTTTGCACTGCACTTCTACCAAATGAGATCGACTTACAAAGTTTCATGTTGATATCTCTTATCATTTTGGAGTTATTATCCGGACAAAGTTCAAAGTGTTAAAACAATGAAAGGGCAATAACTCCAAAATAAGGCAAAGCAGAGTTACGGTTCTTATGCAATGCACATCTACTCATTGAGATATATCTACCTACAAAGTTTCATGTCGATATCTCTTTTAATTATAGAGTAATGTCTCGCACAAGATTTTCCTAAAAGGGGAGATGATAAAAAAAACGGGGCTGAACAGAGTTATGGTTCTTTTCAAATGCACTTCTACCAAATGAGATTTATCTACCTACACAATTTCATGTTGATATCTCTTATCATTTTAGAGATATGTTCCGAACAAAGTTCAAAGTTTAAAAATGAACAAAGGGCAATAACTCCAAAATTAAGCATGGCAGAGTTACAGTTCTCATGTACTGCACAGCCAGCTACCCATTGGGTTTTATCTCCCTGCAAAGCATTATGCCGATCTTTTATAGTGTTAGAGTTATATCCCGACAAAATTCTTCTAAAAGGGGAGATAATTCAAAAACAGGGCTAACCAGAGTAATGGTTCTTTTGCCCTGCACTTTCACCAAATAAGATATATCTCCCTACAAAGTTCATGTATATATCTGTTATCATATTAGAGTTATGCTTCGGACAAAGTTCAAAATGTTAAAATGAACAAAGGGCAATAACTACAACATAAGGTATTGAATCGTTACGGTTCTTATGCAATACACAGCTACCCATTGAGATATATCTCCCTGCAAAGTATCATTTCGATAGTTTTATATATAGTCGACAAGGTGGCGACTATATGCTCTCTCTTTGGGGAGCATAAAAAAGATTGATTGGCTGATTGCCTGATAGGCAGAGTTTGGCATTTGATAGAAAATGCTCCTCCAAATATTGCAGTGTTGGACCAGCAGGAGTTTGATATTACCCCCTTAGCGTCAAGAGAGCTGCCTTTCATCAGGTCTGGGTTGAATATCTTCCTCTTAAAAAGGAAAGGAGGAAGCGACTGACAAAGGACGTTCACACAAATCGAATAAGAGTTGTGATTGTGCTTCTTGTACCTTAGAATATGGGTTAACAACAACATTAGAAAGACGGTGGTATTGATGCAAGCTTGCTTCATCAAGGTTATAAATAAACCGTCCCTTCCACCTTTTTAGGAATCATACAACTATTTGTTGTGCATTGGCGTATTTGATTTTTTTTTTCAATCCATTTAAAAGGCAATCTCTCAAGCTAGATGCCTCAACTTGTTTTGGAATATCCGTATCCCAACTGTGTCATAGTCTCAACATGACTAAAAAGGACCTCTTCCTGTTCATGTATGAGGGTAGACCAGTTCTTCAATTATTAGGTTCAAAAGCACCATACATACGATCTCACAGGGTCTGAGCAGGTACGTCAAACATTCAGACTTTTCTCTCTACAGATTTGTATTTAGTATTTTTCTAGGTTTTTTCATACTTTCCGGTGAATATTTCCTGTATTCCCGATTATTTTTGTAGGATTTCCCTGGAAGAAAGAGTGTAGAAATAATTGGGTAACAAATGTTTTATCTGGATTATATTAATTTAGTTTACTTCATTAAGTATGAAGAAATAATTTTCAAGGAATTATAAAGTGTAAATAAGCATAAAATTGCGCACTGGCAGTCAAGTAGTAAAATTCTTAATATACACCAAAAAGGTCTATTTGACATTCTTAATTGAATTTTTATCGGACATAGATTAATATGATGCGAGAAACCTGCCCTGTCCTGTTTTTCTCTAGGGTCGGACTGGGCTCCTTGCCACTGGTTTTTGTTGCTGGGTCGTGTGGGTGTTGCGTTCATTGAACGCCACCTTTACTTGTTGATCTTGTTGATCATATTTCGTGGCGCAAAATACAAAACCAAGTATTCACTTAAATGATATTGCAAGGTAGACAACTGTGGCAGATGAAGGCTGTTGCTAATGTTGTTAACTTGTTGTCCAACCCATTTGCACCATATCTGTTTGTGAATATTTTTTTTTGTATTATTCATGTAACCTTACATGTTTTTATGTAAATGATATTTGTAATGAAATTTTACTAATCTAAGAAAGAGGACAGAAACGGAACGAACCTGAAAGAAAACAATTGACGTGATTTCACAATGTAATCAACGTGGCAATTAAATAAAAGTTGTTTTTTTACGCACTATAATACTCATAACTTGACTTTCAATAAACATTTCAACATGACATCAATTGAAAATAAATGAATGTCTAAAAACTGATTTCAAATGAATTTCACCAGATTCGTGATGCTTAAACAAACACAATAAAACGATGTAAAACTAAATAAAAGACAAAAAAGGACAAATGCACGGCAGATATGACAAAATGGCAATGATGGCGCTTACATAGCTCGTCTTATAATGAAGGCTCAATTCAAATATCATAGATATTTGGACTGGCACTGTATTCTCTAGAGTGCAAAATCGGTTTTCCATATTTTGGCTGTATGACCTAGTTCTTGACACAAGGTGGCACATATTTAAACCTAACCTTTAAATCATCATAACTTTCCTGAAGAGGAAAATTGGACTAAAACAGAAGCACCTAGTGCGTTAACAAGTTTTTTTCATATTTGTACTGTGTAACTTTTTCCCATGATGAACTATATTAAAAGTTGACTTGCAAATCACCTAAACAACCTTTCTAATGCTATGTTTTCACCGCCGATCAGATCAACTTGATCGTCCCGATCACATTAATTCCCCTATGAAGCCCGACCAAGCTGGATAAAATGCACATTTACGACTCCTACACGACCTCTTGTTGACCCTACACGACTTCTTCTCGACGACAAGCCGACCAACATCCCAACTTCTTCTCGATCACCCTGACCTATACGCGAGTCATACACGATCTCAACTAGACTAACTGGACCTCTGCTCGATCGTTGCCAGATTTCCATCGGAAAAGATCGTAAAGATCTTAATCGAGTCGTGAATAGTCGTGAGAAACTAGATCGTTACACGATTTATTCTCGATCAACAATATCTTCTACTCGATCACTATACGATCGCTTCCTGAATTTTTTTGACATGAATAAAAATTCGGGTAGGAAGCCCGAGCCATGCCGACCAAGGTAGACCGCTCCGACAACCCCCGATCTCACATGCAGACCGAGATACACCGATGCCCGATCGCTTGATCGTGCTTGATCGAGTTGATCTGATCGGCGGTGATAACACAGCATTACCAATTTCCAGGATATTTTTGATCAAAACAATGGTCTTAAGAGTGTTCACAAGTTATTTTCAATATTTGGGATATGTGACCTAGTTTTTGACCCTTAGTGACCCATATTCGAATTTGACCTACAGATCATCAAAACAACTTTTCAATTAATTTCAAGGATATTTGGACTGGAACAATATCGGCTAGAGTATAAACAAGGTTATTTTCAATTTGGGCTTTTGTCTTAGTTTTTGACCTCAGGTAACCCGTATTCGAAGTTGACCTTGAAATCCTAAAAAACAATCTTTCTGATTAATCTTCAGGAAAATATGGACCGAAAAAGAAGCCCCTTGTGTGTTAATAAGTTTGTTCATATTTGGGCTGTTAGACCTAGTATTTTACCGCAGGTGACCAATATTTAATTTGACCTAAATATTACAAAAAACAAACAACCTAATTGACCAATTTCCAGGATATCTGGATCTAAACAGTAGGCTTTAGAGTGTTTACAATGTGTTTTCTTTATTTGGGGCTGTGTGACCTAGTGATTGACTCCAGATGACCCACTTTCCAACCTGACTTAGAAAACATCACGCAAGTTTTCTGACAATTCTCCTGGATATTATGATCAAATCAGTGTTTTCTAAGTGTTTTATCATTGTTTGTTTTCAATAATTGGGCTATGTGACCAACTTATTTTACCCAATTAACACGTTAAACTAGTAAACGAGGGAAGTATCACGATAGAATAGGAAAGATTAACAAGATTGATCAACGGTCACTAAATGTAGCCACACAATGTCAAGACAAATGTTTAAGTTCTTATTCATGCCCATTATATTGAAACTCCGCCTTTTTCCGCCCACTGACAAACATTCTGTTTTCTAATGAATAACAACTTGTGGTAAACAATAACTCAAGGTTGAAGGTTTGGTGATAAGTTAAACATTTGACTAATCCGTTATCATAAGTTTAACAGCTGTAAAATCTTAAAGAAGGATATCGGTCTATTGAAAGTTTTAGAAACTGGAAATGAAAGGTGAGCTTATAATTTCCAATTTTTTTCTTTCTTTGTCATATAGAATACAATTTTAACTAATATTGAAATATTGGAACAATTCATTTTATTCACGGTTAAAAATTTTATGTCGTACCACAAAACAGAGATGTATTGTCATATTGTGCATATGACTTTCATTTGTCATAACACACTTTTTTCTACATCAAAAATAAGTTGTTTTTTGTTTTCCCACGTCAATGACACTGTGAGAAAAAGCGTGAAATGACACTTTAAACTATGTAAAGGATCAGACACTTAAACTTATTTACAGATTAGTTTATAGTTATTTATAAACAAGCTTAATATGTTCAATGTACCGATTACATTTTTTTGCTGATCGTGAATTCTATTGAAATGGACAATTAAAATACATGTAGTATAAAATATTTTCAATTCCTCATGTCTTTATCAATTCTCATGGTACGCAGAAAATATCCGTATTATCTCTTTAATATGCATGTTTCAAGCATTTAAAAATAATGCTACCAATAATTATTATTATCTGTTTATAATTAACATGCTTCGTTACATAACTATGTAGCATAGTTTAACGCAATAAACCGACATGAAACGACATTGTATAGTATAATTTGTTCATTATAAATATCTTTAATATACAAGGTAAAACCCAATAAATAATTCAACGACTTAGTTGATAATGTACTCAGAATTGGGACTTTCTTTCTCTTCTCTTTCCTCTTGAAAGTTATTAAAATCCTATATGTATGTTCCAGCTTTTTATATTTAGGTTGTTCTGGTATAGTTTATAGCTTGTTTCTGCATATCATACATTATATTGATTTAATGCATTCAGTTATCTGAAAATAATACTATTTGATATCCTCTTTTGATCGCATACTTTACTAAGTGTGAAACATTTTGTAATATTTTAGATTATTGGAACAAAGAACTATCAAGATGTTAAGGCAATTATATGTTGTTCTATGCTGTCTCTCGACCGCCTCTGGGTAAGTGTTCCAAGTATAAGGAATCATATAAAGTGCAAACCGTCCTTAAATAAAATGAATCAATTATCACAATCGTCAACGGGACATTTCGATCAATCGCTTTTAGCCCTATAAATGGTTCCAAAGCGTTACACTTGTTAATAATATACATACTATACAGCGATACCTTTATGTGAAGCACACACAATTCAGAATGATTACTGATTTCAGCTGATGTACATATCATCTTAAATGATATGCTTAAATTAACGAGTCCTTTTGTTTTTGAATCTATCAAGTTATAATACAACAATACAACATTTTGACAAATAATGGTGATATTGTCTCTAAATGACGACTTACGAAAGAGCATAGGGACGGAATGTTGTTCATTTGATTTTTTCCTTTAAGGACATATGTGGCATATCTTCCAAATTCTCTGATACCTGGTATTCCGTTGAAATTTCGAGTTCTGGTTCAAAACTCTGGAGGTCCAGTTTCAGTTTGCGCCGGTTTAAAATTTGCCAACAACGACTCAGTTGTTGCAGAAAAATCTATCTCTATGAACAGCGGTAAGTTCATTTCGAAAACTTTTATTAAGATCTTTAAAATATATTGTCATCGATATTAAATAATATATTTATATAAAAGTAAAATTGGTCTAATTTTCCAATGTTTTAAATTTTGATAAAATATTTGTATTGTATCATGTGGATATTCTTTAAAAATATTACATAAAAATGTATACATTAGAAACGCTTCGTGACATGGATTAAACTGAATCAGTTAAGTACGTAAACGCATGCGAAATTAGTATCATAATTATTAACAACGTTGCTCACATTTATATTTTTATAATCAGTTTATTATACAAACTTTGTTTGAGTTTATCGTGTCAGTTTTAAAATATAGAAAAACAGAATCCCTAAAGAAAGCCCAACACGGCAAAATTGAAAATGTTGCAGGCTCGGTTTGATTGAGTCTGTTCATGGACGGTACTGGAAAGTGCAAGTTAGCACCGGCTTAAGCAGAATTCAACATTTAAACTCGAAAAACCATCTTATATGTTACGACTTATTGCACGAATAGAAATATACAAGTACGGTTGTCTTGGTCAAATGAAACGCTGAGTGAAAATTAATGAAACCAAGCACTGAAATGCGACCATTTAGTCAGAATCACTCAATTTTTATTCAGTTTTACCTGATTATCATCCATTTCCGGGTTCTTTCAGCAACTTAAGATGCAACTTGTGACCAAAACTTGCATTTTCAATAAACGAGTTTAACAGCAATTATTTTTATAAAACAAGACAAAATATTCGTTTTGTTTTACACCTAAATTGTATATAAAGCAGGACAAAAAAAAAAACAAAAAAATTTCAAGCGTCTAACACACTTAACCACTTCACATAACACTTTTCTATTTTGAGTGTCCGATATATTACATAATGGTATCCACGTGATGTTTTATCTTCCTTATTCCATTTACATGAAAGTGTTATTCTGATTTATATATATCAGTCTAGACATGATATAATGGATAAGAAGAAATACTTGAACAACATCTTGACACTCGAAGTAAAATTATAATTATAAGAATAAATGTGAATACTTTTTAAGTACTTAAAGTAAGCAAGCCCTGAAAGTGTTTCCTAATGCAATATGTCAAGAGACGTTTGAATAGATGAAATTAGATTTGTGAACAATTTTCCTTCAAATTCTCTTTTTTATGGTACTTGAAATATGATCGAGCGAGTGTTAAGAGGGGTTCAATGTTCAACAAATGAGTTTAACAACGGAAAAAGGCCAACATTGCGGTGATTTTCTTTAGTTCAGTTTTTGTCTTAAATTGAGAAATACACTTAACGGAACTAAGGACATGTACGGAATAATAAAATATCATAAAAATAAATAAATATAAATAATAAAATAAATCAAAAAAGAAAAAAAGTAAAAATGAAAATTGTGAGTGATATACTCTGAGTAATACTTCGCAACAGCACGTGTCAAGTGCCGTGTGGCCGCTGTAAAAAGTTGCCCCGTACTTTACTTCAGTGTTATTATATTTTTCTGGTCCCTCGGTATCATTGAAAGCGGCACTATTAAGTATTGAGAATTGCGTACCGTAGTGTGTACCGCTCACGCCTATGCTAGGGGGCGTGAGGGATGTTGCATTTATTCATTATCCTTCATGTACAGACTCAATAAAACGGTGTCTGCTATTTTCATGTCATTTGTTGTGATTAATGCTTCCGAGAGACCATCTTGTTTCGAAACCATTATACTTAACAACAGCAGGTGTCGTGTGGCAGTTGTAAAACGCTGTGCCGTACTTCACTTCAGCGGTGTTATATTTTTCTGGACCTTCGGGATCATTGATGCCAAACACATTGATGCCAACACTACCGCTCAAGCCGATGCTAGGGGTCGTGAGGGATCTTGCATTTATTTCGTATCCCCCATGTACCGAGTCTACAATTTTCATGTTATTTCGTTGTAATTAATGCTTTTGAGGGATCACTTTGATTCCAGATCTTTATCTCACTTAATAAAATCCTAAATTATCACTAATAAGCATATTAAACTATTACAACAGTTTGACAGAGTATATCTCAAATAACAATGATATCTGATATTGGTAGCAACAGTATTGTTTGAAACTGTAGCGCAATGGGATTTGGATTAGTGAGGTACGATTGGATTCTTAAGTTAATAAACATCTTTTATACTGTATCTCTCTTTTTAATAATCACTGTAAAGTATCATTATGATAAACATAACAACAACTTTAAATTAAATTTAAGAGGATTCACAATAAAAAGAAATAATAGAGAATATAAGAATCCCTAACGAAAGCCAAACACGGCAGAATTGAAAATGTTGCAGGCTCGGTTTGATTGAGCCTGTTCATGGGCGGTACTGTCAAGTGCAAACTACCGTCCACGCCCCTAGCACCGGCTGAGCAGAATTCAAAATTTAAAATTAACTGGTACAATTTTGACAAGCATACATTAACCTTTCGATCACATCTTCCATCGCAATCGTTCATTATTTGCTGTTCAGCCAAAAGTATGGTAGAAGGTGTTTTGAACATTAAAAAATACAAGAACAAAGATCGACAAGGCAAAGACAACGTTCACTGGAAGCAGCCCCCCAACACACCCAAGTAGGGCACCAAGAAGGTAACAAACAAAAATCCGGAGCGGACACAAGGGTGGCGAAAGGAGACGGACATGTAAAATGTGAAATAATATAAACTTAATCGGGCCCATATGGGAATTAAAAGGATAAGGGATGTAAGGGTGAAAAGGGGAGGTGGTGAAAATGGGAGAGGAGAGGGGGTAAAATGGGAGGGGGGTGGTTGAGAAAATACCTACCGTAAACGACAATCCAACAAGGCAGATATCACACAAGATAACATTTAAAAACAAGTAACAATACATACATGAAAAACACGCGAAGGAACACAGAGGGGTACCGCCTTGGAACAGTCAGTGGTAGTTAAACCCCTTGAGAGTATAAATCGGTTTAAGGCGCAATATGTTCCTGAATGACACGAAAGTGTAAATAAAATAAATCCCCGCCAAGTAAAATTCTTACAATGGTCATGGTTATATTAGACGAAATAAATAAAACACATAAAAGAATTGTGTAACTATGTAGAAAAAGGTACAGCCTTATGACCATTACCAAAGTATTCGATGCCTTAGAGGAAGGCAGAGCAACAAGAAAATCACCTACAAGGGCCCGACGAAGCAAGACAGAATACGAACATTAAGACAATTCAGTCCCAAAGGGCTTTAAGAACTGTCCATCATTAAGTCTCCCACTTAGTGTGTCTGATGTAATTAAAAGAGGAAAACGTAGCGTCCAACTGTAAAATGGTTGAACACCAGGCATGCAGTAAACCTTGCGTCATAACCTTTTTTAATAAACCGTTTGATAATGTTAGTCAAGACGGCAGAAAAATTACTATGACTGACCCATGATCTTACAAACTTTGTGAACCAGATCTCCATAGAAATCAGGTTTGCTAATACCTAGTCGTTAAAGAGTTTTCAAATAACAATAAAATTTTAAAACTAAATCTGAATTACGATGGTAAACTTAATAAAATATTTACGCAATTTATGATAGCGATAACCTTGTTTAAAAAGTTTGTTAGTTATAAATAAATTGCGTTCATTAAAATCATCAACACGACTGCACACCCTAGCAATTCTAATTAATTGAAATAATTGCACCCTAATGATATTTAATAGATATTTATTGTTGTTTGAACATGCTACAGACTCTTTTAAATATCCATCGATGTTTAACATGTTCTGTTCAATGGCGGTATTATCACAATGCATTTGAACTGTAAATAAATACGGACATTGCATCGTTTTAAAAGCTTATTCCTGCAAATGTCTAAAAATGATAGATAAGATGTTTTATTTCCTGAAAACTGCACAGCGTTGATGGAAAAGCGCATGTCACATCATAAAGAAATATTGGCGTCAACTTTGACGTCGTGTTTCTATGATTACGTGATTTGATCATTTGGAAATGTCTTGTCACGGCTCATAAGCGTTTAACAATGAAATCAAAAAGATCTATGTGTCATCATGCGTGAAATGTATTTTTAGAGTGTATTGTTACAGTATTAAAAGGTCTAAGTAAAACGGCTCACTTTCTTTGAATAAGCTGAACGAAGAGCTTGCTGTTCTAGGATGCTTATTCATGGACTGAATATATTAAGCAGAGTAGCGCCGGAAGGTCGGCTCTCAAAATGAATAATGGCCCCGAGACCGATAATCACTATCAGGTCCGTCTGTGATGTGTATTAATGTCTTTTATACACTTGAGCATAAAAAAACTCGATATTTATTTACTTGAAATTCCTGACTCTGTAGGTATCTACAAAACAGTACAGTAATTTCTACATAGTTTCTTCCCTTATTTGTATTGATAAAAGTCCACTACAAATAGGAAGAACGTGTTCTTTTCTCCGAATGAATATCGTTTTTATACTTCATATTTCAATAAAACTGTGTGTACAAATAACGCTTAAGTTTATCATAAAATAAAGCGATTCATACTTTAAACCTTCATTTTGTGCAAGCAATCGTGTTAAGAGGGCCGTTTATGATAAGAAGTTTACGGCCCCGGGCCTTAGACTCTTAATCGGTCACGTGACACTCATATCAGTAGAAATATACTGTAATAGGTAAATTAGTTACTAAATATGGTAACATCTGTTTTTAGACGATTTGTATCATGAGCTATCAAGTTCTCATTATAACCTTTTGATTGATAACCATAAATAAATAGTATTCTTATAATACATCCAATATAAAAAGGAAATATAACTATCGAATGCTTTCTTTAGGTGCTAGACACAAACAAACAGAGCCTGCAAGTTACATAAAATTTGATGTGATTAATGCTGCCGAGGCATCACTTTTTGTCAAGATTTAAAAAATGTAGAGTCCTCTAAGATCATACATACAACTTAATTGTACGTGTATCACATAGATTATCGTTACACAGGTCAAAATGCACCACATGTTTAACGTATGTGACACACATTGTTTACATATGGTAGAAACATATGGTGTCTCCAAGAAATGTACCCCATATGCTCAACTATTCCTTTTTCTCATACAATCAAATTGCCTTATTATCAACATCATCATCACAACCAATATCATCACATGATGATGATGATCCTGATGAAAATATTGACCGTCATCATGATCACCATTTATATCATCTTAAATAACACTAGCAGGGTTTCTATGTTATGGAACACACACTGGTCACAACTACCATACAAAAACAAAGCACAACTCGGTACAAACTATTAAACATTTATTTACAAAATAAATGAATCAAGTGAATGTGAATGGTATGAAATGAATGAAAAGAAAAAAAATAAATAAAAGTTCCGTGTCACGTTTCTTATGTCGAAAAGCACTTTTTTCCGGTGGTGTAACTCAAAACAAATATTCAATGATGCTCGAGATGTGACCCATCAAAAACAGAGAGATCGATACTGTAACTGTCTACAAAGTGTAGATCCAAGACTGTAGATGTGGGATCGATCGCTACATCACAATCTCCAGATGTGACTCATCCAAAGCAGAAAGATCGGTTCTGTACTGTCTACAGAGTGTAGATCCAAGACTGCGGATGTGGGTTCGCGTCGCTACGTCACAATCTCCACTATCCTCGCTATGTTGAACACATGCGTGATTCAAAATTGAGGGTGAATCCTCCGAGTAGAAGCTACAAAATATTAAATATGGTAAATATCCATGGTACACAAATATAAGGGTATAAGTATGTCCCTTTGGAATAGCCGGACCTTTGACGGATTGCTATAAACAAAGCTTCTAAAAAAATATAATGTCCCTTATGGAACGCCATACACACTGATGAAACAATTTCAACGTTGATTATATATCGTAGCACGTTGTAAGATAAAAAACATGAAGCCAGACCGGATGGCACCTAAATATCGTCAAAATCTTTCCTTGAATCGAACCCATATTATTTCGTACAAAAACAAAAATAATGATGACGATGTGATATGAAAATTATTTGAAGAAATAAGAATTATATAAAAACGAACATCTGCAGCAGACTTAATCATAAACTGACTTTTACTGTATTAAACAAGAACATTAAAACTTATTTTAGTAAATATAAATGAAACATATGCATGGTAAAATAACGTGCACGCAAGGCGTTAACGTAACGGCCTTGCATATATAATAATAACTATCAATGATAATGAACAGATTATCACTATTCAAGTAATGAATGAAACACTAGAGTCATAAATTTACAGGTGACGAAAAATTAGAGAACGAAAAATTACTGTCAAAATGCAAATTAAAATTTCTATGAAACGAATTTTTAATAAAAAAATTAACTGAATTACGATCTTCTGAAATAACAAAAATTTACTAAATAAAACAACAAGAAAAAACAAATTTACCTTGTGCAAGCTTCAAATTTTACACAACAAGAGTAAATATGTCGGTCATTATGACCTTGTGTGTCTTTACACATATATATGTGAGTCCCCAAAGAAGATTTAAAATTCGTGCATTATATAGGTATAGTTACCCTGAGTGGAAAGTGTGAAATATAACTTTCACGATTTTCTTGCATTCCAGAACGCATGAATAACAAAATATACAGGGCCGTAATATCAAATTTATAGAACATAAATAAATTTGCACTTTATCACAAAAATATAACTTTGTTATTACTGGACCGAATTTTATGAAAAATATATCATAATGCTTGAAATGATACCAAGAAATTTTAGCAATCAGTGAAAACACTGAAATAAGTAGTCTCGATAACTCTGAATTTTACAAAAAAATGATACAATAATCTATATTGGATTTAGTATAAAACTGAGGTTCGGCATGAAAATAGAATACTACAAAATCAAAGTATTGAAAGTACTTCTGAGCATTTATGAAATGGTTTACTTTGTGACACTTTCCACATAGATTTACTACATTTACAAGCTGTACGTAGATGCAACAACCAATAATCTTTTAAGAATTTATGGACAATCAAGTAGAATCTAATTAAGACTGTTCAAAGTGTAAATCTTGCAGAATCTATGATCATAAATTTATCATATGAAAAACACATGAAAGTTTACATATATTTAACATATGAAAACATCTTCATATGAAAAACATGTGATAACCACGAGTTTAACATATGTTTGTTGACACATGTTTTTAATATGGTCCTGTTTAACATATGTTAATCTTACATATGAAACACATATGTTCTTAAACACATGTTTTTCAAAACGCATTAAACATATGGAAAACATACATGTATGGTGTACCAAACATACAACAAACATGTGGTGCATTATACTTGTAGCATTACTAGTTTAAGCACAATCATATGTAGCATGTTACAAAATGCCGACAAATAATTCAAAAACGATAATAATAGTACCGGTTCACTTATCATTTCCGATCTTAACAATGATTTATCATTACAATGTGCAGAGATACGAACAAGGGTTATGTTTGTTTTTTAATTTAAACATATACACATAGTTCCTGTCTTAAATTTATCTTCCTCCACACTTGCTTTGTACCTACTTTAATTCCTATTTGCTGTACATTTGGTAATTTTCGTGAGAAACGGTCTTTCATCTGTCGTTACTCAATTACAGATTAATCTATAGTAAGAAATACTTTATAATGTGCGTCGGTTTAAAGAAAACAATTAAAACTATATTAACCATGACCTTATCTAATTATTATTTTTCTTATTTTACTAAAACTATTAAAACAGCAATAAGTAAATTATTATACAACATATAGATTTCCATACATGACATCAATTTCTGATGTTTCTTTGCACTCCATAAGAGTCATTCTGTAAATGACATCACTTGAAAAAAATGTTTTTGTATAACAATAAATTAGATTCCGACTCGGTTGTTTACTTTATACATTATCTCTTTTTCTAGGAATGTATTCGAGTATATCTATTAACGTAAGCTTTATTTTATTTATCTACCATACAAGAACTTGATAATAAGAATATTATTCATTATATTGTTATTGAAGGCTAATTTATTGTTTCCAATAGATTTATGATAATGTTATTCCTACACGGATTTTGTTATCGCTTGCTCACATATCAAAAAACTTACATAATGTTGTAATAAAAATATAGCGTCCGGCAATATAAGAATTTATTTTTACATTTTATAATTCCGACTTTTGAATTATTTTGATACTTGTTGTTTGTGTTTTCAATTGAAACATAGGTATTATTATATTATGTTGTTTATTTTTTACTAAGGTTCCAAGTACATTGCTTCCCTCAAATTATCGAGCATTTATAACGGGATCTGGTGCATTGGTCTTCACAAATAGTTCAAGTATTCACTATAACGACAGGAGCTTGATGGTATTTATACAGACAGATAAAGTTCGTTATTCTGCAGGTCAAACAGGTACGAATAAAGTGCCTCTAGATGTACCATGCATTGAAAATTTGAAATAAATCTATACTGCACTCCATGTTATTACACTATATTTCATTAACATAAATAAAAAGGCATGTTAAAACAACATATCTATGAAAAGAATTGACATTTAGATGTGTAAAATGTTAAGATCTTGGTTTCCAAATAACGCACATAATAAAAGTTGAAGATTTACTTATGTATCTCTCGAGACGTGCGTTTGATGACCATTACTGTGCATAATTTCAGTGAGATATCGGGCAGTGTTTCTTCTTCCTAATCTTATGGGCTTTCAGGGAGAAGCCACCGTCATAATTCAGGTAAAAATATGATTCTTCGTCATCGATAAACACGAAATGAGTATATATACTTCATATATATATGTATATATAAACATACATAAAAAAGTATGTTTTGGGAAATGCAGAGTACAAAGTTCGTTAATTTTTTATACGTTTATTTCTGTAAAAAAAAATTAACGAACTTTGTGTACTCTGCATTTCCCAAAACATACTTTTTTTATACATGAGATCCACACAAGGAATCGAACTTCTTTTTTTGTAAACATACATATATATATATATATATATATATATATATATATATATATATATATATAATATATATATATATATATATATATATATATATATATATATATATATATATATATATATATATATATATATATAAACATGTCCGCCTCTTTCTCGAAATTCAGAAGATATATGTAAAAATGGCGTCTCGTTCATTAATTCAAAACACTGATGTTACGTTTGTAATGACGAATATAGAAATATTTAATTAATAATTTCAGAACAATTCTTTAAACTGTACAATACAAATTGATTAAATGAAGTCATACAAAAGTATATAAAGTTGTAAACGTAAAAAGTAAACTACATAAATAACAAGTGCATTATATGCACCATTATAGAAAATAACATTTTTTGAAAATGATTGCTCCAGGTTAATCTTAAACAAATTTAATATGTACAATTGAATAATTGGTAATGAAAGTCAATGAAAGCATTTGAAGCTGAACATATACACATTTACTGTATCATAAAGGATGGACAGGACCATAAAATCGAGACAAGAGGGCCACATTTGATTAAAAATGGGGTTATTTCTGGAGAAATAGAGCTCAGCAAATACCCCGTGTTTGGGAACTGGACAATAGGCATTGATGTTATGGTAAGTTGTAGAAACATATATATAAGTAAGATATCTAATCAGTTTATATATACATACATTTGATTAATTTCTTAACGTGACAGGTATCACCCATATACAAGTAATCACTATACATCATTCAAAAATTGTGTTTAGAAACAAAGAGTACATGTATCTATCATAGTTATTAAGTTATATAGTTACATGGAAGTCAGATATATTCTTAAATTGAATTGAATACATAGAAAGAAAGAAACATAGAATCCAAAGGAATTGCTTACAGCAAAGGACAACATTGTTAAAATATTACGATATAGTGGATTTATATTGTAGGGGAGAACGCACACCAAATATTTTGAAGTCAATGAATATGGTATGTGCTAATTTTTATTTAAGAGAGAGAGAGAGAGAGAGAGAGAGAGAGAGGGAGAGAGAGGGAGAGAGAGAGAGAGAGTTAATTGCTTGTTTTCTCTCTAATTTCAAATTTTATTAGAACGCCGCATTACTTGATATATATTTTAGCTGATAGCGATTCAAAGATAAATCTGAGAATATGTTAAGTTTATATGATAATTGGAGGACGAGAACTACTCTTTCAAGGCAATAATCAACTTAAAACATAACTATATAGTAGCATCACCTATGGCGTATCAAAAGTTTAACAAAAATATAAGAAAAAAAAAGCAAATATCACATAAATGTTTGAAATTTATCAAAAGTATCATAATGTGGTACAAAAAAATAACAAGCAAAAATCAAATACAACGTATCACATAATATGTTGACATTTACAACTAATACGAATATTTATCCTATTTTAACCATGAATTTAAAAAAATAACAAAGTAAAGAGATAATCATCAGGAGAATATAAGATAATATCGTTGATTTTTTTTCTAAAAGATAAAATGAAGTTGGTAATGGAAACCCTCAATGAACATGAAATGCAATGAAAACAAAATACATTTTTTTTCTTTCTTTTGATAATATCAATTTATATTTTTGTGAAGTAATATCATTTCCTTTTTTACTTACAGTCAAGCAAAGATTTACCGTTGAGTTGTCAATACCTCCTACAATAAATACAACACAAGAGATTTTCGTAATAGGTGTCATGGCAAGGTATGCTTGATTCCTTTTTTGAAATCCCTTTGGTCTAAAATGGCCTCGCCCCAAGGGGCATTGAATTTTCTGATAAGATAAAGTATAAACTTTTAAAACATATCATCTGAATTAACAGAGGATAGGTAAGACATTTGGCATGAATCATTGAGTAATCAACCTCTGTCAAGATTCTTCAGATGATAGTCCTGGGGTCAAAATTAGCCCTGCCCTTGGGGTCATTGATTTTCTTTGCATACATACAGTAAAAACTTAAAAATGATCTTTTTGAAGATATATGTCTTAGAGTTTTTATATTTGGTCAATGATATCATCTACATGTCCTCTAACAAAGTTATTCAAAATTTGCCTCTAGTGTCAACATTACTTCCCCCGGGCAATAGGTTTCCAAATATCCAGGATATTGGTAAGAAAGGTTGTTCTGATGATTTCAACGGCAGCTTAGAATATGGGTCATCTTGGGTAGAACAACGAGGGCACACAGCCCAAATATGAAATCCCTTGCTTACACTCTAGAGGTTATTGTTTAGCCCAAAGAATCGGAAAACCTTGCAATACTATTGAGAAAACTGTTTATATCAAATTATCATAGAAATAAGTAAAAATTGTTGTTTATGTGCTTTAAATATCATGTTTGAATATGGGTAATCATGGATCAAAAACAACCCAAATCTCGAAAGAATATTGTTTACAATCTAGAGGTTATATTCTGAAATTTTGTCAGAAAGGTTGTTTTGATGATTTCCAGCTCAGCTGTGAACATGCGCCATCCATGGTTAAAATATAGTTCACACAGTCCAAAATTGGTAAAACCGTGTTGTCACTCTAGAGGTTACATTTTGAGTTCAAATATCCTGGAAATTTGTTTTTATGATTTCTAGTTCAAGTGTGAATATGGATGTCAACAAAGGTCACAACACATGACAAGGCATTTATGGAAACACCTTATTGACAATTTCAAGTGCAGATATAAATTGTATTATATCAATTTTAGTTTATGACATTTTATCTGGCTAACAACATCAAGTAAAAGCCTCAATAATCAGTTGAGCTATATAAGGGCCATCATGGACCTCATATTTGTAATGTTAGACTGAATAATATGTGTAGAAATAAATGCGAACGAATGAACACAATGTGACGGCAAGTTTTCGATATTTCTTTATTAACACCTCTATTAAAAATTACATAATTTTGAAAAGTAACACTTTCTATCTAAAGTTAAAACTTATGACAACATCTTAAACACAGCTACTATGGATGCTTTTTTGCAGTTTTACATTCAAAGCAGATGTAAATGGAAAATGCACTATTCAACTGTATAATGAAGGGAAGACTTCGAGGAAGTTTCAGCTCTCAAATAATGTAAGTTTGCTTACAATGCAACATATATACCTAACATAGCTAACATTTCATTCACATTGCATAGCTCAAATGTCTTATAACATAGCTTAAATTTGTTTAAAATACTTCGGTGAAAAAGCGTTGACTATTAAAATAGAAAACAAGATTGCATTTGAGAAAAATGCTATGCCACCGCATTAATACAACACTAAATAGTAGTGTAGGAACAGATTTTTTTTTTGTTTCTGTACAATTTTGAAGATTGTCATAATGCATAGATCCCTGATCTATCTAATTCTTAATATCAGATTAGTAGTTAAATCTGTTGTTAACTCAATAAAAGATCAGAGTAGGAATATATCAATGCACTCGAGTCTAGTGAATTTGGTGGTGAAGGTCATATTTCACACAGCCTAAATTTCATGACTACATCAAAGGACAACACAGTAAGACACTTTGTAAAAATCTAGGTCAGCTGAAATCAAAGTTCACTTTACATCTTAATCTGTGCACATGGTTCAAATTTCATAGCTGTACATCAAAGGACAAGAAAGTAGGTCACATCATCAAAATCTAGGTCACCTGATATCAAAGTTCAATTTTACAACTAAAACTGTGCACATGGTCAAAATTTCATTGCTGTACATCAAAGGACAAGAAAGTAGGTCACTGTCCCCTTGGGCAAGGCAAACTTTTGGACCCATGGATTTCATTCAAAACAATCTTGATACAGTCCACCAAACAACATTTCAAGTCAAATATCTAAGTTGTAGCTTTCCCACATTCAGAAAACATTTGTTTTATTTTCTGTTTTTACTATGACTTGTGTACATAATGAGAATCACTGCCCATGGGCAGGGCCAATTTTGACACCAGGGGAAAATTTGAACAACTTTGGTAGAGGACCTATAGATGATATTATATAGCAAACATCAAAGCTCTATGCCATGTACCTTTAGACAAAAATATGTTTTTATTATTTTGACTATATGTACATAATGAAAATCAATGACCCCCGGGGCGGGACCAATTTTGACCCCAGGGCTATAATTTGAACAATCTGGGTAAAGGTTCACTTTGCAGTCTCGTGCCATATATTTAACCTCTAGCCTTTGTCAATTCAGAGAAGAAGATTTTTCAATTCAGAGAAGAAGATTTTTCAAGTTTTTACTTAATACATATAAGGAAAATTTTAACACTAGGGGCATAATTAAAACAACTTTAGTTGAGGACCCATAGATAATATTCTATACCAAATATCAAAGCTCTAAGGCTTACCTTGAGACAAGAAGATTTTTTAATTTTTACTATATGTACATAGTGAAAATCAATGACCCCCTTGGGGGGGGGGGGCAGGCCAATTTTGACCCCAGGGCTAAAATATTGCTAGAGGTTCACTACATAATGTTTCATGAAAAATATCTTAACTCTAGCCTTTGTAAATTTAGAGAAGATGATTTTTTTTTAAGTTTTTACTATATACATATAAGGAAAACCTATGGCCCATGGGGCGGGGCTAATTTTGACACTAGAGGCAAAATTTGAACAACTTTGGTAGAGTACCTATAGATGATATCATTTAACAAATATTAAAGCTCTAGGCCTTGTACCTTCAGACAATAAGATTTTTTATTTTTTACTATATGTATATATTGAAAATTAAAGACACCCGGGGCGGGAAAATTTTCACCCCAGGGCTATAATTTGAACAATCTTGCTAGAAGTTCACTACACAATGTTTCATGCAAAATATCTAACCTCTAGCATTTGTGAATTGCTAGAAGATTTTTTCAAAAAGTTTTTACTATATACATATAAGGAAAACCAATGACCCCCGGGGCGGGGCTGATTTTGACCCCAGGGCTATAATTTGAACTATTTGGGTAGAGGTCTACCAGACAATGCCTTATGCAAAATATCTAAGCTCTAGGCATTTTTGGTCTTTAAAAGAAGGATTTTAAGTTTTTACTATATGCACATATAGTGAAAATCAATGACCCCCGGGACGGGACCGATTTTAACCCCAGGGCTATAATTTGAAAAATCTTGGTAGAGGTCTACCAGACAATGCCTTATGCAAAATATCTAAGCTCTAGGTCTTTTGGATCTTTACAAGAAGATTTTTTAAATTTACTCTTATAATTCCTTTTGGTTGCCATGGCAACCAGATTTCTGCATGGAATGAAATTCTTTGAACAACTTTGGAAGCCCTTCTCCCAAGGATCAATCCTGCCAAGTTTGTTTGAAATTAGACAAGTGGTTCTTCACAAGAAGATTTTTTAAGTTCACTATATAATCTATAACACACACACACACACGCACGCACGCGCACGCGCGCGCGCGCACACACACACACACACACACACACAGACAAACAAACACACACACACATACACACAGGTGAATCGCTATATGCCACCGCATCGCAGATGCTGCGGTGGCATACAAAAACAGATTAAGCTTTCACTACTGCACGAATCTTTCAATGAGCAACGAGGGATCACTTTCTTCCAGATATTTATACAGCACAAAAGCAGGTGTCAATTGTTGTGTGACAGCCGTAAACAGTTGTCCCGTACTCCACTTCAGTGTTGTTATATTTTAGTGTCTTTCGGGATCATCAAGTCCAGATTTTGAGTGTTTAGGAATACCGCTCAAGCTTGTGCTAGGAGGCGTGAGGAATGTTGCACTTTTAATAATCCCACTTGTACAGACTCAATCAATCTTGGTTTGCATTTTCTTGTAATTTTGCTGATTTTAATGCTTCCGTAGGATAACCTTCTTCCAGATATTTATCAGTATTTGTATATAGATATAATTTTGATGATACCGAAAGGTATATTCTTTTAATCTTCAGATAAAAGGTTCAGCAGAGTTTATCATCCAAATGGCGAAGCTTACCTTGGAATTAGATATAAACAAAAATATAAATGTCCGAGGTATGGTTACCGATAATGCTACAGCACTGACAATGGTGGCTGAACGAAGATTGAAGATAGCTTCAAATAAACCACACCCAATCACTATAACAAAAATTAATGCTTATGAAAATACCTATATACCTGGAATTACTTATCGTACGAAGGTAATAAATGGTCCTATAACGTTTCAATAAAATGACAAAAAATAACAGAGAACTATTCTGTTCTTTAATAGATAAGACAGTCAACAGAAATATAAGTACGATCAATAGTATTCTTATATTAATATAATTGTCGAATAACTTTTTTTGCAGAAACATTCATAAATCGCTGATATTGATATTTATTCAGTTCGGTATGTAAAGTCGTTTATAAAGTTATAACTTTTCTTTTGTTTTTCAGATCTTTGTGGGAAGAAATGGTAAATCACTAGGAAGAAGCGGCCAGCTGGAAGTGAATCCAGATGTTGTAACGGCAATATTGCTAGATTGTGATAACCACACTGAAGGAATTTTAGACACAATTCGCAGAAAGCCATTTATAATCCATTTTAACGAGTCTGGATACTCTGACCTTGCATATTTGGATAACACTAAAAATGTACAGGAAATATCATTTTATGTTAGTATATCATATGATGTCCTTTACTTTTTTTTCTAAAATAGACAGATTAAACGTAATAATGGAATGCTTGACAAAATTGCTTGAATCGAGCCAGTTCATTAACCACGGTGGTTTATACATGCAAATGGTTATGTCACTTGCCAACGGCGTATGCATAATACCGCATAATGAAAATAACTATCAAATTTGGTCCGAACACTCGACCCATATTGATGGGGCTTCAAATCCCGCCATGGATTTAAATGTTAGGAAAAATGTCCAGCTCGATTACGGCTTATGTGTAGTTCTAAATAAATCAGTTATGTTCGTTGTCCTTTCTGAACACATGAGTGCTTTTTCTTTAACCGTTTGATGCTTCCTTGAAATTAACAATTAAGTTTATCGTGATATGGATACCTTGTTTTAGATCGTATCGTCTAAACGAGAAATTCTGCTAAAACCAGTGTTACTGAACATGTACCAAGCCAAACCTGTAGTAGTTTTAAGTTTGCCATACGGAACGACTTTTAATGTTTCCTTTTAAATTTCAAAGTTGAATGATTAAATAGAAAGATCATGAAATGTCCAGGTAGTTAAAAGGCCATCTTCTAAGACCTGCATTAATTATTGCAAAAACCCATGTACAATGTAATACTTACTTATTTTGAAAAGGCTTTTACGCCTTTAGTATATTTTAGAATATTACTAATAAACCATTATTTTTAGATCACATTACAAGACGCAATTATTCAGCGTACTATTGCTCATAAAACATTTGTCATTTATCCTATTTCGGATCATACACCTTTTCTACGGATGAATGTTAACAAGTTCAGGGCAAAGGTAAGGTTCAATGTATATCTTTATTTTCTAGTTGGGTTTAATTTATTTTTCATGAACAAATAACTTACATGTTTTTATCATTGTTTGTAGTACTTACATGTTTCCATTATTATTTGTTTGCAGTAAAAAGGTATTGGTACTTTTTGGCTTTTTTGGTTTATATTTAAGGTCGGAGAAAGGATTGTTATTGACGTATCGGCAACGGAAAACCTAAACGGAGCGTTGACATTTGAAGTAAGATTTCTAATTTAGGCTTTAACAGTTTTGATGAAGATAAGCACTTATGAAAACAATATTTTACTTGATAACTAAAGGGATACTTAAAATAAAGTCAACATTTTATTAATCGTCATTTAATCATGTGTTCCCAAAATTACAAAAGACCTATTACTCTTACATGGTTTAATTTATTTTTTTAAAAATGCATCATTGTAGGTGTATGCAAGGGGAATGCATCTTATATCAGAACGGGTAGCCATAAACGATGCTATGACAACGACACATTATATGCCAGTAACGAAGGATATGATTCCAAATGCGTTTATTACAGTTAATCATTTGACACAAATTGGTCAGCTTATCGCTGACTATGTATATATACAGGTTGAAGGAAATCCATTCGAAAATAAGGTATTTCTCTGTATTCTAATGTATCGCTTTTCTGCTCCTTGTATTTAGTATTAGATGTTCTTGTATTTAATTTATCTATTTCGAACTTGACATTAAATTTATTTTTATTCTTATTTATTATTTAAAACAAGACAGTTGACATTATCCTTATTTTTATGAAGAATTAAATCTTTTGCCTTCATATTCCTGACTCTGTGAGAAAAAAACTTGCTTTTTAAGGTAGAACTATCATTCAATGACTCACAACCACAGCCTGGAGAGACGGTAAACATGCACGTATCTGCCGATCCACTCTCAACTATTTATGTCTTAGCAGGGGATCTTAGGAACCATGTCTTTGGTGTTGATAACGACATATATTGGAAAGACGTGTGTTATTTATGCCATTTTATCATGATCGTAAAATCAATTAAAATATTAAAATTGCAATCTGATATAATTTCACAGTAAATTATTACTTTAAAAAAAAACAAACAAAAACAATCTATTTCTGCTTCTCCTCTTGTAGTATTTTACTTTAATGATGTTAAATTTAAGGTTGTACAAGAGATTGTGGATGCAGGTCAAAGTTTAATGCAAAATATTGGAAATCATGGAAACAGAAAAAAGGTGTACTTCATTTTAATTTTATCCTCAATTATCAAAATGTACTTTATCGACTAGCCACTGCTTTTATTTATAGTTTGTTTGTTTGCTGTACATGTTTATATATATATATATATATATATATATATATATATATATATATATATATATATATATATATATATATATATATATATATATATATATATATATATATATATATATGAAAGAAAGTCATGAGCGGGAAATTATACTTAGAAACATCGCACAAAAAATCGGCACGCCGCAGTCGAAAATCGAACCACGGGTCTCTGGATTGCCGGTCCAGTATGCTTACCACTACACCACTGTCACAGCGACCGTTACTTTTTCTTCGTGCTAATTGGCCTTATATATTTAAGTTATTTTAATATATTTATATATATTTTAAGCTCATTAATAAACGTATTCAAAATTTCTTAATATGAATTTTTTTTTTTAAATTCTAAACAGTAACATTTTACATTAGACGTGGTTATTACTTATGTTCTTTTGATCATCCGTTTTTGTACTAAAATGTTTATCAACATTATTTCCAGCGCGCATACCATATTAGACAATTGCCTAAGCGGTCAATTGGGGATCCTGGAAACTTACAAGACACATATATTGTATTTATCAATTATTTATTATCGTTTTTTTTTTTGCTTAGTAATTTACAAAATAATAGCTCATCCTCTTCATGGTATTAAATGATTTATCTAAAGTATACAAAATCAAATCAGTCTTTTATTATTTCTTCCAATAAACCTAATTTTCAAGATTTAGCGATTGCGTTGCATTCAAGATTGTACAATCATTTCTTAAAACTGTGCCTGCAATCATCTATTTCTATGTAAGGGTCTACCTATATCAGAATTATATAGTTATAATATGATACATCTATTTGCTTTAAACTTATCTTGAAACATCAATTTAAACAGAAGCGAGATAATGATCATTATATCAAAAGATTTTCTGACATCGGTACATTACCAAGTTAAAAAAGGGTTCATTTGCAAATTATCAATAATAAACTTCAGCTGACTATTTTATTTTAAGGAAAGCGGATTGATAGTTCTTTCGGATGCAACTGTTTTCGGGAAAGAGCAAAACTTACTTACTATAAAAGGGAGAAAAGAAGAATGTTATAAGAGTAAAAAATTTGATTTTCATCGTATTGTGGCATCAAATGCTATGATTTTCCCAAACTGTTATTGGAAGTACCATGAAGGAGATGAAGATAATCTTGAAACAAATCTTGTTTCTGTTAGCATATGGTGCAGGCATGATGCAATGATATAAAATGATAAAAAACTTAGGCTATGAATTTCTCTATAAAAAAATACAAAATTAAAAATATTGCTTCATTGACCTGTACCTTCACAACAAAGATATATACTTTACAGACACTATAAAAGTGCTCAGAGTCCATGTTGACAAAAATCTTAAATTGAAAACACAAATTCATATAACTACTTAAATGCCAGGAAATAGTTCTATTTGTCTTTTACAATCGAACAGTACATCGTTTTTAATGCATATACTCCCGTACATATTTACTACTTTTGCACTATTTAGAGAAAATGCACAAATTGTCAAATTTACAAGTTGGAAAAAAGTTACTTTTCAAGCATGTTATTCTAACAAAGCTTTTTATTACTTACGGCATTGTAAAACATTATACTATGTTGACCTGTGACGAAATTTGTAGAGCACTCTCTTTTATTTTAGACAACATTTATGTCAGGTTTGGTAATACTCTATTTAAACAGATCATAGGAATTTCTATGGGTACTAATTGTGGACCCCTGGTCGCCTATTTGTTTTTGTACTGCAATGAAAGAGACTTTATATTGAGATATTATAGTCGCATTTAATAATACTTATAATAATACCAGATACCTTGATGATATTTTTAATTTAGATAATTCTTATTTTGATCAAGTGGTGTCTGACATTTATCCCCATGAACTACAACTTAATAAATTTGGATGGCAACGAATACCAAAATCAATACTCGAGTACTCGGTCATTTTTCCGATCGAGTACTCGGTTACTCGGATGATTTCCAATGATCTTTAAAGTTTTATCACACAATATCAACACCGTCTGCATGCTACTTTCGTTTTCTATTTTAATTCATAGAACTCGTAACTATAAAAAGGACTGCAAGAAATACATATATAAATATAAACATAAGAAATATCAATGACAGCATTTATTATATACCTACAAATTTTCTCTCTAAAATACAGGATGAACTTGAAGCGCAAATACGCTTCAACGGATAGAAAATTCCGTATTATGTTAGTGCATATATGGAAGTGCCGGACAATTTTTGACGCTGGTTCCGATCTTAGCTGTGTATAAACGTAGCATTTGGAAACGGAAACCAAAATTATAAAAGGCGTGGCCGGTTTTGCAAATATTACGTATTCATCCGCCGGTCATATTTTATAATTTATTTCTTGAGAGCTACATTTCATTTTCTGAAATTTATTATAGAAGTGTAGTATAATGAAAATCATTTATAATTCAAACGAAAAGGTATATAATAAAAGGAAAATTATGTTGTAGCCTATGCATTTTTCTACTCGCAATATTGGAAAATTGATATTTCGCTCGACCTTCGGTCTCGTGAGATATCAATTTTCCACCGCTGCTCAGCTACAACATAATGTTCCGTATATATTTACGTTTTTATAATTAACAAGTTTCGGCTACAAACTGTCAAATATTTAAAGGTGATTAAATATCATAAGAGGCCGAACGACGTAAACGACACAGGACTGTGTTTAATCCCATACGCGTGTCGAACTGCTGATCGCCTCGTTAAACTTACGATAACATTTTCTCACCTCTGCAAGGATGTTTTGATTGCACTTAACAAGTATTTATACAGATACGTGTACATTTCCGAATTTCTGAACTAATCTTTCTAAATCGCAAAAAAGTAGAAATTAAATATTTTTTTCCGAGTAATCGAATTTCAATTTTGTTAACCGATATTCGGACGTTCGATCGAGTACTCGGGTAACCGGTTACTCGTTGCCATCCCTAAATTAAATGAAATGAACTCTTGAAATTTTGTACATTATTTTTAGATCTTGATATTACTATCAACAACAATTCTATTCGCACGAAAATCTATGATAAAAGAGATGAATTGAATTTTGTATAGTAAATTATCCGCATTTAGATGGAGACGTACCCCATGCAACATCTTACGGGGTGGGGTGTATGTTTCTCAGTTAATAAGATTCGCTAGAGCTTGTAGCAGCGGAAAAGTTTTAACGAGCGGAATATTCTCATTACCAATCAATATTCTAAAACAGGACTACTGGGATCCTTCATATTTACCGGATAATCAGTTTATCGGACAAAATCTATTCCTGTAAAATAAGGCTTTATACACTTCCTATTTCAATGTAAATAACAACAATACAACTCTCAGGTATATATTATTGATTCAGTTCTTTATTTACTAACATACCCTTTTTGTGTCGCATCTACGGAGTAGTGGCGATATATTGGGATCACTTCTCCGTCGTCTGTATGTCTGTCCATCTGTCTGTTCGTCCGTCACAAAACTTGTCCGGACTACTCCTCATAAACTACTGGTGCAATTTCATCCAAACTTTACAGGAATGATCAGTACCAAGTCTAGTTGTGCATATTGTCAGCATTTTCCGGTTCAATGATTTTTTTCAGAGTTATGCCCCTTTAATAATTTTCATTTTTAAAGTTTGTCCGGACTACTTCTCTTATACAACTAATGCAATTTCAATGAAACTTTACAGGATTGATCTGTAGCTAAAGTCCTTGCGCACAATGCACGGGTTTTCCGGTTGAATGATTTTTGGCCGAGTTATGGCCCTTTGATACAAAGGTGTTTTTCTGTGTGTTGCCAGACACACAAAAGCTTGTCTGGACTACTCCTCATAAACTACTGGTGCAATTTTATTCAAACTTTACAGGAATGATCAGTACCAAGTCTAGTTGTGCACTGTCCGTCTGTCACAAAAAGTGTCCCAACATGAAATTTGCCATCATGAGGCGACACATGTGATCACTGATGGCTCTTGTGTTTACTAATTATTTCATGACCTGGTTATGCGGGGGAAATAATCTGTTCTGCGCATGCCTGAATATTGAGGCCCTTAATGGGTTATCTTATATAGGTTTTACTTTTAATTCTTCTCAACGTTATCACAGGAGGCAATCGGAACATATTTAAATGATAAAAAGTAATTTCAAATTTTGTTCAAACAATATCACGTTGTTGTCTTTTATTTGTTTGTTTGGATGTTTACGGCACGTCAACACATAACTGGCCATATCGTGCCGAATGCTATAATAGGCTTAAAATGTCATTTAAAACTTTTTAAATGACAATGAAAATGAGCCAATTAGATCCTAGAATACAAGTTTATCTCTTTCAAATAATCAATGATGTTTTTTGATGGAATTGTATTAAAAAGTTATAAAATCTATTACGGGCCTGTGAAAAATCATGACATTCAAGAAGAAAATGCTTGACAGAAAGGGGCATTGTCATTCGTGAGGAGATAAGTGGGTAATTTTAGTGTGTCCAATTTGGCATCGAAGAAGAACTGTTTGATTATGGCGGTTTGACAGTGATAGAGATGGTGACACATCAAGAGATGGGAAAATGTATGGCAAAGAACAAAATTCCATTTGAATATCAAAATGTTTCATACGTTAAATGATCATGAAGAATCAATACGTTAATAGAGTTAATAGTTTTAAGTTCAATTTCACCCCTATATTGGCCTCTTCGTAACAAGCATGGTTTAGTGACATACTGGTATGGAATGCCATAGCTGCCTCATGTTGTTACATTTCAATTTATTTTTCCCTAAAAGAGTCTTTTCATGTATAATAGAAGAGTTGGCTTGAGAACATGTCTTAATGAAGTCTTATTAGGTCAAATATTCATTCTCTCTTGTCAAAAAGTAGTGCTGACTTGCCTAAACACTGTCTAATTATTTCAAAACGTCATGTTATCATGTGCAAATCCGGTGTTAACATTCCGAATAGAAGTCTTAATATGTCTAAAATGTACGCCATCTTTTCGAATTAAGATTTTAATATGTCTGAACACAGACTTGTTTAAATGTCATGAATTGTCTTGAAATTGTCTCATCATGTGAAACAGTAGTGTTATCTTGTCGGAAGTTGGTGTCATCTTGTCCAAATGTGATCCTGGTTTGTTATCACACTGTTGTTTTATGTTATGTCGTTTTGTGGTATTGACTTGTCTAAACACCGTCTTATTTTGTCAGACTGCCATGTCATTGTGCTCAAATTCGGTGTTACCTTGCTTAAAGAATGTCTTTTATGTCAAAATAGCATGCTGTCTTGTCAAACTGTGGTGGTTATTTGTCTAAAATTGTCTTATTATGTGAAACAGTAGTGTTATCTTGTCGGAACTTGGTGCCAACTTGTCAGACTCATGTCCTATTATGTCGGCTAGAAGTGATATTTGTTCAACCGTTATATTGGCCTGGCTGAGTGATGCCCTGTTTTGTCAAACTGTTATGTTGCTTTGTATGAGGTGGTGTTATTCTGTCTTATTGTGCCAAAATATCATGCTTTCTTATCTAAAACTGTTGTTATTCTGTCTAATATATACGTATTATGTGAAATGCTAATGTTGACTCGCCAATAAATTTTGTTTATTTGTGTTAACGTAATTTCATTATGTCAAACAGTATTGTTGTTTTGTCGAAACATGGTATTGACATGTCTAAACACTGCCTTATTTTCTCAGATCGCCATGCTTTTTATCCAAACTTTATGTTAACCGGCCTAAACACCGTCTTATTATGTGAAATAATGGTGGTATCGTTACAAATTATGGTTATGAACTGTTAAAACGCTAATTTTAATTTGTCAACCTGTCATGCTATTATGTCCAAATGCAGATTCAACTTGTCTATATTCGTCTTATTATGTCAAATCGTCATATCATCTTTTCGAAACGTGGTGATGACTTGTCTAAAATTACTATCTTTTTTACAAAGTGTCCTTTTATTTTGTCAAGGTTCAGTGTTAATTTTACTAAACATCGTCCTTTTATGGCGAAGTATCATTTTTCTTTTCAAATGTGGAGTTTACTTGTTGAAACACAGTATCAGTATGTAATACAGTGGCGTTGACTTACCAGTTTATGACGTTAACATGTCTAAATACCGTCTCATTATGTCAGATAATTGTGTTATCCTATCCAGATGCGATGTTTTCAAAATTTAGTATCACGTGACAAGAGCACGCGCGGCGCGTGAAAAGATAGAGCAAAAAAATAATAAAAATAACGGGACAGTTTAGCAAAATCAGACAGCGCTTTCTCAAGACAGAACTAAATTTGAACCAATTTACACTATAAATAGACGCTGTCTGATTTTGCTAAACTGTCCCGTTATTTGTTTTTGCTCTATCTAGCATTTAAACACCGCATTTTGACAAAATAACAAAGTAAAGCTGTGCTTTTACAAGTCAACACCAAATTTCGACAAGAGAACACTACTGTTTCAAATGATCAGACATTCTTTTGACAAAACAGCTGAACAATTTGACCAAATAGCGCGATTAGTTGACATAATATGACACATTTCAGACAAGCCAACACTAACACTATTGTTTGAAATAATTAAACAATGTTAACACAAGTCAACATCAAATCTTAAAGAGATAAGACTACTGTTACGCATAATAAGGCAATGTTTAGACAATTCGACAACTTACAATGGCGTTACAACGCTTATATTTGACATAATAAGACGCATTCTGGGCAAGATAAAAAGAAATGTAATATCATGAGGCAGCTATGGCGTTCCATATACTGGGGTTTTCCAGTATCTTAACCTTGCCGTTCGTTACTCGTAGTTTCCTTGCTGATTATTTAAAGATTAATTTCAATTCACGACTTCAAAACTTTTTGAAACACAATGTCCTGTAAATTGAGTTGTTTACACGATTTTTTTCCTCTTATAATGCCGTACTTTTAAGACACATTTCTCAGGTCAAATGTTTAATTTCATGTTTGATAAAGAAATGTTTACGTGTACCCAAAATTATGTGGGTAAAATTCCATTCTTTTTTTATTACTTTAAATAAAAGTTACACCGAAAAAATATCATATTTTGTCCGGTAATATGTAGGACCCCAGTACCGCTATCATAAATTACGGAAATGTTTTACAAAATTTAACAATCGTAATTTTGATTTAATTTCCAAATTCAATAGTGATTTAAAAACTCTTCTGCGACAAGGGATTAGCCAGTCTGGTTTTTATGGCGATGTGATTTACAAACTTCGTAAGATGTTTGCTCATGGTAACTTTTCTGCTGTTTTTACTAAAATTATTAAACGTTTTTTTAAAAGAGGTTATGTCCCTACAATGTTCAACCCTTTTACAGTTGAACATTACGCTTTCCTTTTTTGATTACATCTGACGGACCAATTGGGAGACTCTATGATGGACAGTTCTTAAAGCCCTTTGGGACTGAATTGTTTTAATATTCGTCTTCTGCCTTGCTTCGTCGGGCCCTTGTAGGTAATTTTGTTGTTGCTCTGTCTTCCTTTAGGACATTGAGTACGTTTGGTTTACTTTTATAGGCTTCTACATGATCATTTTCAAATTGGTGTTTTTCTCATTTAACCTTTTGTAACCATAAAAAACTGTTGGAATTTCACTTGGCGGGGTTCATTTTATTTACAATGTCTCGTTTAAAGGAACATGGTGGGGCTAAGACGGAGGCTTGGTGCACCCTTCACCGGTTTAAACTTCCCAGCAGTACTTGTGCTGCTGACCGTTCCAAGGCAGCACTCCTCTGTGTTCCTCAAATTTTGTCTGTTGTTTCATACTGTTTTGGTGACTTTTTTTGCTTGTGTCCCTTATTGTTTTCTTGTCTACGGTAAGTATCTTCCCCTTTGCCCCAGTTTTTATTTCTTTAATTTACCCCCCCCCCCCCCGGGTCTCCTGTCCCTTTCCCCTGTGCCCTTTTGCTTTGTTGGCCTATTATTCGTTTTTTTTTGTTTTCTTTGAATTCCTTATCAGTTACAAATTATTTTCTGTTATTCAATTATTTATTTGTTTTCTTTGAATTCCTGATCAGTTACAAATTATTATCATTTAGTGATTAACTTGTCCGTGCTCTGTCTTGTGCCCTGTCATGATTTTGTTTGGGGTCGGCCGGGGCTACTTGCCACTGGTTCTTGTTGCTGGGTCGTATGGGGGTTGCATTCATTGAACGCAACCTTTCCTTGTTGATCTTGTTTATCATATTTAACAAGCATTTGATAGTATTGCGGGCAATACAGTAGTCCCCTACCGGTCCCTCAAAAAGTTCTTTAATTGTCATACACTCCTGTGTATTGCCATTTATAATGAATTTGAGGATGAAGTCTGTATTTGAAAATATCGACCACAAAACATAATAAAATAAGTTTGTCTATATCACAGTAATGTGTTAAGTTTCCATGCTTAGTAAAGAAATTATGTTTATACAACCTTGTCATATTATTACGATGTGGGATTTTAAAGTAAATCCTATAAGGAATGAAGAAGTTGGAGTGAAAATACCAGTTTCTCAAAAAAAATCTAAGTTCAAGGGGGACATAATTCTGGAAATAGTCTTGCTAGAGTATTTAACCTTCTCAAAAATGTCGAGTGATAATAAGAAACATATATATGAAGTTTGAAGTAGATACATTAGGAAATAAAGAAGTTATTTAAAAAAGACAACATTTTTTCCAGTTCAAGGGAGGTAATACTGATATTTTTTGTGCTAGAGTTATAAACCTTGTCACATATGATGTGGTTGATGACCAGAAACTTATATTTAAAGTTTGAAGTAAACACCTTAAGAAATAAAGAACATATAGTGAAAAAGCTGAAAAATTTAAATCAGAAATCTTGAAATTCAGGATATTTGTTGCCATAGCAACCAGAATTTTCAACATAGGAAGAAAAGAAAAAGATGTGCATAATCTCCAGACTGCCATCTACCCATATTTCAAGTTTCATAAAAATATTTTCAGTACTTTTTGAGTTATCACTGGATCCAGTTTATGTGTTAAATTTGCCATATTTTCAGACTATTTGTTGCCATAGCAAACAGAATTTTCAACATAGGAAGAAAAAAAAAAGACGTGCATAATCTCCATACTGCCATCTATCCATATATCAAGTTTCATAAAAATATTTTCAGTACTTTTTGCGTTATCGCGGGATCCAGTTTTGTGGACGGACGGACTGACAGACTGACAGACAGACGGACAGACAGACGGACGGAGGGTAAACCTAAAGTCCCCTCCGATTAAACCGGTAGGGGACTAACAAAAAGAGCTAAGAAAACGTCTATGTAACTCTTTGATACAGTGTCACTTTGACTATGCTAGCTCACATCCATATTGTTATGATTCCACTTCAGCACCCGTATCCTCTTTAATCAAAGTCGTGTGTGAAAGCTGTCCAAAACGTAAGTACATTTTTTCATGATAAAACGCTAAAAAGATGGATAAGTCTCTTTCATAGATTGATCTCTTTTACTTTAAAATTCGTGACCGAACAAGAAATAAATTTATTACACTAATTATTAACGTTCCTTTATATGTTTCTAATATCGCTTCTGAAATTGCAATAATGACATAATATAGTTTGATCTTTTTTACCTTGAGTAAAAGTAGTTACACATAATCAGTATACGTTCTTCGATCTAGGAAACGCGTTGTTTTAACTGTTACTTGTTTAATAATGTACATTTATGATTATTTTGTTAAGCCCCCGTTCCCTCTACGAACAAGAAAAAGTTATTCTACAATATTTTTCTTTTGTTTTGAGTCTTATTTCTCTGTTTTATCACGGTCTTGAGATATTTCATTATAATATCAAGTGTACTTCATCAATAAATTTGCAAATTTGCTCGTTTCAAACGTTCAAAACTTAACGTTGTTATCAAGTAATTTAGTTTTTTTTCAACCAAACTTCCATCGGTATACTAAAACAATTTCATATTTAAGCAGATGCTTCATACCATTTTTACGACTCCTACATAAAACCAAGTACATACTCCACATGTTTAGTCAATTTGCAAAAACGAAACAAACAAAAATTATTTTGCAATTAAGGCAATTTAATTATTATTTCCATACGTTTACTTGCTACGTAATTCAGGTTTTCTTGGACCTTTGTTTGGTCTTCAAACGATTTATTAATGTATTTATTGCAATATATAGGTTCAATTATATACTATATGCTAGTACATTCAATACTACAAGATATTTTGTATCTTTTCTCTTGCTTTGAGTTTTACCATGGTCATAAGTATTTTCATCCTAATATCATATTAATTTTCACAATAATTTATCATTTAATTTGCAGCTTTTGCACGTTTAAGATGTTCAAAACATTGGATTATTAAGTAAATAGTTTAATTTAATTGTTTGTTTGGACTTAACGGCACGTCAACACATAAATGGCCATATCGTGCCGAATACTATAATAGGCTTAAAATATTATGTAAAAGTCTGCAAATGAAAACGAAAAAGAGCCAATTAGATCCTTGAATACAAGTTTATCTCTTTCAAATAGTCGATGATGTTTTTGATGGAATATTAATAAAGAGTTCTTTGAGTGAATTTACATTATAAAATCTATTACGGGCCTGTGAAAAATCGTCTTTTATGGAGTAGTGGCGACATAAGGATCACTTTTTCGTCGTCTGTCCGTCTATTCACCTATCTGTCTGTCCGTCCGTTTGTCACAAAACTTGTCCGGACTACCCAAAAACTACTGGTGCAATTTCATCAAAATTTTACAGGAATGATCAGTACCATATCGTCGGCATTTTCCGGTTCAATGATTTTGTCAAAGTGATGGCCCTTTAATATTCTTCACTTTTAAAATATGTCCTGACTACCCCTCTATACCACTTATGCAATTTCAATAAAACTTTAAACGATTGAGAGGTAGCTCAAATTGCACAAGTTTTCCGGTTGAATGATTTTTTGCCGAGTTATGGCCCTTTAATAAAAAAAATGTTTATGTGTGTTGCCAGCTACACAGAACATTTCCGGACTACTTTGCACAAACTAATTTTGCAATTTCATCGAAAATTTTTAACAATCACAATCATCGGTACCAAGTTTAGTTGTTCATATGATTGAATGATTTTTGTCTAGGTGATGGCCTTTTCATTGTTTTTATTTCCAAAGTTAGACTGGACAACTCATTTAAAAATTTCAATGCAATTTCAATGAAGTTTTACAGGATTGAACGCGATGTAAATCGTTTTTACATACTGCACATTTTGCTTGAATAATTTCGGCCAGAGTTTAAGTTCTCGAATAAAAATATGTTTTTGTGTTGCCAGCTACACAGAAACTTGTCTGGACTGCTTCTTAAAATAACTACTGGTGCAATTTCATTAAAAACTTTACTTGCATACTTATACATCTCGTCGACATTTTTGGTTCATTGCTTTTTGTCATAGTTATGGCCCTTTAGTGATTTTGAGTTTAAAATTCTCCCGATTACTCCTTTTATACCACTTATACAATTCAATGAAACTTTACATGTTTGATCTGTTGCTCAAATTACACATTACACAGGTCCTTAGGTTGAATGATGTTATGTCGAGTTATAGCTATCATTAGGCGACACATGTGATAACCGATCGCTCTTTTTTATGTTATCAAAGTCAACCAGAATACTTATTTCTCAGTTGCATATTTTAGTGGATATTGTTAACCATTATCGAATTTTGATCCATTTTATATATGTACTAACATGTGTTACTTGTATTTCATAATTGCAAACGATCAAAAAAATCCGTGGAATGTAATTTTGTAATCAACGTAATAATGTATTTTTTCGACTGTAAAGCAGGTTTTTTTTTTAAATGACCAACATTTACTTTGCAGGAAATGTATTTGAAGCTTTAAGTGTTCTTCCAAAAGGTGAGCAAATAGCTAAATCAAGAAGTTAAAGTGATTCTGTACTGTTTGAATTACAAGAATATGTATTTTTAGTTATCATAATATTCAATTTTTAAAACATAATTCGCGTCACAGTTTTGTCTATCCGCTTTACCATGTGTTAAAATATTTTCAATCATTTGCTTTAGTACAAAAGAGCTTTGCATCAAAATAATTAACTATTAAAATTTAAGTTGATCATAAGTTTATCTTTTCCATATTTTGACTTTGAAAGCTTCACATGTAAAAGTGTACTGTTTTCAAAAATTATATTTTGATATTTCTTAAAATTTCAATATCGTTTTGCTTCTTAAAGCGTGTTGATAAACATTAAGTAACTTAAATATATTTTTAACATCTGACAATCAATTGTCGTTACATTATTTACGTGACATCGTTTTCACCACCAAAGTTACCTTTATGTTATAACCCGATTTATTAATAAATTTCAAACCTTTCACGTCTTTTTAAAATAAATAATGTTTATATGAATATTATAGATGATAGAGAAAGCGACCCTGGTAAGTGATAATTCATAATTTATACTGAATAAAACTGAAGAAAACTGCAATTTATAATTTTTCTAAACTTTGCATGTTGTAAGAATATAATTGCAAACTGTTTTCATAGAATAAAATGGGGTGGGAGGACCGACCCTGTTATCGAGTTATGCTTAATTTTTTTCTGTTATCTTATAATGAGATAATGCAAAAATTAAAATAAATTCCCTTATGTATTTTTGCAATGTATATGGCTATAAATATTACCCTAGCATACGCCTTTATTATTCGACTGAACAAACACTTGCTCTGTTATTTAAAAATTATCAACCCTACCATTAAGTGAACATACAAGATTAATGTCTTGTTGACTGGTTGATTATATGATATTTAGGTATGGTTCAAATATGAAACATTGTAAGCCTAAATGTCCTACAAATTAATCAAAAGTTTGTATAAATAATTTCTTTCAAAAGTTTGATTTAGGGTCACTAAGTCAAACAGGCAAAATATGGAAAAACCTTGTTTATACTAAGAGGCTATTGCTCTGGCTACAATATCCTTGAAATTTTTTAGAAAGATCATTCAAATAATTCCTAGGTCAACTGTGAATAATTTATCTGAAAGGTTGTTTAAATGATTTCGAGCTTCTTTTTAGGTATGGTTAAAAAATTGAACACCTGGGCTCAGAACCTAGGTCACAAAGTCCGCATATTTCAAAACATTGTTAACACTCTAAATATCCTAGCAATTCGTCAGACTGGTTGCTGATTGATTTCTAGGTATGGTTCAAATATGACGCATAATAAGCCTAACTGTCCTACAAATTAATCAAAAAGTTTGCATAAATAATTCCTTTCCCCAAGTTTGAATATGGGTCACTAGGTCAAACAGGCAAAATATTTTTAAAAAACTTGTTTATTCTCACGAGGCTATTGTTCTGGTTAAAATGTACTTAAAGCTTATTCAAATATTTCCTATGTCAACAGTTACTGTAAATATTGGACATCAGGGGTAAAAAAAACTACGTCAGATGTTCAGATCATTTGTAGCTCAAATTTGTGTATGGTTCATATGGTGTCATAACTAGGTCACGCAGGCTAATCTTTGGAATAGCGTTGCTATCACACTTAAGGTAATATTTTCCTTTGAAATGGAAATTTATCAGAAAGGTTGCTTCTATGATTTGTAGGTCATGTATCTTCGGTCATTGTTCTTTGCCATTAACAGCCTTAATTCGTCCTATTATAAGCGCTCTTGTATATATTTGTTTTTCGTAGGGTCGTCCCTAGAGGAAATTGTAAGAACGAGGTTTCCTGATACCTGGCTATGGGACGAATATGATATTGGGTAAGATAATTAATATTAAGAGATTCAAGCAGCAGTCTTCAAAAATTGAATGTATCAATAATTATGTAAATAATAATAATGATAAAGCATAAATTTTTACAAAAACAACATTTATTTTGAGATCAGATTATTGTGAAAAGAAGACTGTGAATGAAATCAAAACATAAATACCGTAACGATATTCCTTCGGAACTTCTATTTCAGTATGAACGGAGCAATTGATATTGCTCATAAAATTCCTGATTCAATGACGCTATGGGTAACCTCGGTATTTGCCGTTAACCCAGGAACAGGTTTTGGGATTGCCGAAACAAAACCAAAGGTATGTCATGTGCCCTTTAAATAGAACCAAAACGGTGACTTCATTTGGATAAATTTGTTCTTGTTTACCATTTGCAAAAATATCATTTATTTACGATTAAAACATTCAAGCTAATTGAATATAATCTACATGGATGTGCGCTCGCTTGTGTGTTAGCGGCTCGCTTGTGTGTTAGCGCGCGTGTTTGTGGGTGTGTGTTTAAATGCTTCTCATTCAGTATGATATTTTATTCCTAAATATACTTTCACATTTTATGTGTTTAGAAACTGTTTTATTTTGAGCTTTAGGTGCAATAGCAACATATCACCATACAAACGCTAGCTATGGTGCATAGTGTTAATGTATCTACAGCTTTGCTCATAACAATGCTACGTAGACCTCTGGTAGGGCCGTTATTATGTTAGACTCACCGGACCTATGCTCGCCCAGGCGCATGCTCGAACAGATTTTTATTTTTATGATATAAACTTATGAATAAAAATATTATCTGAATCATGTGTTGTTGTTTCTTGATGCTGCAAGTGTCCTAGTTTCTCACCTTGTTTTTGAAGAGTTTACCGGAAGTTGTTATCATAATAAAGCAGACGAAAACGAAAACGGAAGTACAAATGAAAGTCCGTGATGCTAATAAAAACAACGAATCATGTATGACTTTTTAATAAAATCTTAATAAAAATCAACTTAAAATAACAATTAAACATTGTTCTTACTTTTTGTAAAGTTTAAGTCGTTCCGATATATTTAAAACAGTCATAAACTGGTATTGACACCAGCTGTCATATTGTTTTTCTACATGCAATTTCCAGGGCCGCCACAATAGTCGGCTTTTTCCATTAAATCTGTCGCTTTTGGTGCATTTATGATGTATTTTTTGGTTAGACATTGATTTATTAATAACTTAGTTGATAATTAACGAAGACTGCAGCTTTAAATAAAAAATTAATTTCTTTTTCTTTTTTTATCAGAAGTAACTAAAAATAACCTAGGTCTTACACCACTAATTTTTTTCCCGTATCCTCGCCCATATCCTCTTCAGAGTGATCAGTATGCCCAGGCAACAAAAAATCATGATCCTGAGACATTTGAAAAAGGCCTGAAAGCTTTTAAAAGAGGGATATGACAAGTGCTGCCACTATGAGTGCTTGCCATCTAATGTGCAAACAGATGTAGATCTGAGTTTAGTTACCAGCACAAGGTGGTTTTGTAGATATTGTGAAGAGGAGTAATTGTTGAAACTGTAGACCACACACTGTTGTTTTTGTTCTAGTTTATGTTTCTACTTTACTTTTTGAAATTGAAAAAAACTTATGTACATGATATTTAGTCACAGAAACTTTTTAGTCACACCTTCCAACAGCAGTTGACTATCTTTTGAAAAAATGAAAAGTCTTCATAGTAAGTATATCTAAATAAGATTTTCTCTGAATAAATATAATTATAATGCAAAATATAAATACCTGCTTTATATTAACAAATCAGTCTAAAAATATGATGAATGGTTCCAGGTAATATCCGTTTTATATTCGTAATATACCGGTGGGCGAGCATGGGTCTCCTCTCTTCAACATTTCAGAATATTAATTTGGTAGTGTTTGACCTAGCAGACAGTACCCGGATGTCAGTTTTTATGTTTTAAATGGGTCACATTACGTACCAAATATGACCAGCTATAAAACAAATTCGAAAAAGTTATTTTTAAAGTGAAGTCAAAGTGTATAAAATAGTATTCAAATAATTGCCTTTATTGGGCGAGCATAGGTCCGACGAGTCAACATCTAGCTGCTTCAATAGTTCTAGGGATCCTATAAAAGCACGGACAAGGGAACAAATAATTAAAAATTGCATTAATCAATTTCATTGAAACTGATTAGTAGAGATACTGAAAAAAAGTAGAATCTATCCGGCATCCAGCGCCTTCAAGTGGTATAGAGCGTAATCCTTTTCTCGCGTCACCAGACGTAATTCTAATGGTCTACTCTACAGCCATGGCGGTCCTTCAGCAGATAAACAGAATGTTGTTACATAAAGTTTACCTACAAGATTCCAGACTCTAGACCTTAACATAAGATTAAACGCGAATTAATAATGGTTAAATAACGAGATAACCATACCTTTTGGCGAGGATAAAATGTTGATGCACATACTGAAACTCATTCAAATGAGGATGTAAGTTCTTTAAACCTTGAGCAAGTTATAATTAATAACCATCGCCATGTTAAAGGTTTAAGGTGGTTTGACCTTTGGTTGTTCCAGTATTCCTACTTGAAGCCGGTGCTAGGGGGCGTGGACGGTAACTTGCACTTTCCATTACCGTCTCAATCAAACCGAGCCTGCAATTTTGTAGTGTTATTTGTAAAAAGTCTCCCCGTACATTTAATCAATGATGTTATATTTTCAGCACGACTTTATTGTTGCTAGAGGTAAGATACTTTGCATGAAACATTGTGTAGTGAACCTCTAGCAAGATTGTTAAAATAGCCCTGGGGTCAAAATTGCCCCCCCCCCGCCCCAGGGGGTCATTGATTTTCAATATATACATATAGTAAAAAATCAAAAAAAATTGTCTGAAGGTACAAGGCTTAGAGCTTTAATATTTGTTAAATGATATCATCTATAGGTACTCGACCAAAGTTGTTCAAATTTGCCTCTAGTGAATAAATTAGCCCCGCCCCGGGGGCCATAGGTTTTCCTTATATTTATATAATAAAAACTTTGTGTAGTGAACTTCTAGCAAGATTGTACAACTTATAGCCCTGGAGTTGGCCCTGAATTGGCCCCACCCCCAGGGGTTATGATTTTTACTATGTACATATAGTAAAAAATTTAAAAATTCTCTTGTCTGAAGGTACAAGGCTTAGAGCTTTGATATTTGGTATATAATATCATCTATGGGTCCTCTACTAAAGTTGTTTTAATAATGCCCCTAGTGTTAAAATTGCCCTGCCCCAGAGGCGATAGATTTCCTTATATGTATAAACTAAAACTTGAAAAATCTTCTCTGAATTGACAAAGGCTAGAGGTTAAATATATGGCATGAGACTGCGAAGTGAACCTCTACCAAGATTGTTCAAATTATAGCCCTGGGATCAAAATTGGTTCCGCCCCGGTGGTCATTGATTTTCATTATGTACATACAGTAGAAAAATAAAAAAAATATTTTTGTCTGAAGGTACAAAGCATAGAGCTTTGATGTTAGCTACATAATATCATCTATAGGTCCTCTACCAAAGTTGTTCAAATTTTCCCCCTGGTGTCAAATTGGCCCTGCCCGGGGGCAGTGATTCTCATTATGTACACATAGTAAAAACAGAAAACAAAACAAATGTTTCCTGAATGGGAGAAAGCTACAGCTTAGATATTTGACTTGAAATGTTGTTTGGTGGACCTGTATCAAGATTGTTATGAATTAAACCCTTGGGTCAAAATTTTGCCTTGCCCAAGGGGACAGTGACCTACTTTCTTGTCCTTTGATGTACTGCAATGAAATTTTGACCATGTGCACAGTTTTAGTTGTAAAATTGAACTTTGATATCAGGTGACCTAGGTTTTGATGATGTGACCTGCTTTCATGTCCTTTGATGTACAGCTATGAAATTTGAACCATGTGCACAGATTAAGATGTAAAGTAAACTTTGACATCAGCTTACCTAGATTTTGACAAAGTGTCTTACTGTGTTGTCCTTTGATGTAGTCATGAAATTTAGGCTGTGTAAAATATGACCTTCACCACCAAATTCACTAGACTCAAGTGCATTGATATTCCTACTCTGATCTTTTATTTGATTAACAATAGATTTAAATAAGAATTATATAGGTTAGTGATCTATGCATTATAACAATCTTCAATTGTATAGAAACAAAAAAAAATATGCTCCTACACTACTATTTAGTGTTGTATTAATGCGGTGGCATAGCATTTTTCTCAAATGCAATCTTGTTTATTATTGTATTCGAAGATACATTAAAATCTTCAGATGATAGTGAAGAAAAAGTTTTTTCTCACAATGGATCTTCCGCCGTCAATTGTTCATGGCGAAGAATTTCTCCTCCAAATATCAGTCTTCAATAACTACCCTATAAATAAATTGGTAAATATATTGTATATGTACGTTTAATTTTGAAAAAGTCAATTCGTTCGACGTCACTACGATGGAACAAATGTGACATGTGTGTGATTTCATTTATCTTGTGCGCACGAAATACTGTGTCGTTGCCACGAGTTACTTAGTCGTGACCATGAGATAGTTAAGTATTTGGAACGAGATACTATGTCGTGGCCACAAGATAATTAAGCCGTCGGCACGAGAAACTATGTCTTAGCCACGAATTTTTAAGTTTGCATTTTTGTAAACTTAAAAAATTTTCTTTATAAAGATTTACGCGTCCTGTGAACGTTGCCGTTGCCTTGTTGATCTTTATTAAGCAAAATTTATCTGTATTCGACAATACATGATTCATGTCCTCGGGTTCATAATACAAAGTCACCTTCTAAGGCCCATAGATCAGACATTAATTGTGACTAATTATAGCCCTTTGTGAGGACAATTCTGTGATGAATTGGTCAGTTTGTACGAACAACCGCCTGCTAACATTTTTGTACGATAATTTGAGAAGAAATAAGACCTGGTTTATTTAATTTGGGAGGGACATTGCCTTTGGACAAAGATAGCCTATAAGGATGTTTGAGGTCAAGGTAACCATGACATTTCATGTAAAATCCTTGTCTGATGAATATTTTAAAAGGAATAAGCAATGGTTTATATAACCTAGAAAGATCATTGTCCCTGATCAGTAGATGACATCTAATAATTTTGAGGTCATTTGGTCAAAATGTAGGGTCAAAATGACGCTTAATTTAAGAGCATTGACTTATCAATGAATAGTACAAGTAAAAAAATTGCTGGGAAATGCAGCAATGTGATTGTCACGGCGAAAAACAAGAAAAAATACAAAAACAAACAAACAGTTAAGTATAATGTTAAGGTATCTCCAAATAGCATTGTGTTGAATTGACAGGTTAACTTGTTAAGAAGGTTTTAAAGTATTATAATGTAACTTGTTACAAGAGCCATGTATATGTAGTAGAGCATAATAATTTATCATTCTTGTGTACTGCATATCTCTTGAGTGAGATCTATCCACATATGTAGTTATACTCTGGACAAAAATAAAGTATGAAAAGTAACAAAGGGCAATACCTGAATAATAATGCCAGGGTAGGTTAAAAAGTCTTGTGTGCCGCCACTCCTCCTCAATGAGATCTATCCACCTATGAAGTTTTCACGTTGATACCTCTTAACACTGTTTGAGATAAGCTCCGGACAAAAAGTTTGAAAAATAACAAAGGGCAATAAACTCAAAAATTATAAAGGGTATCATTCTTGGCGCAACAACATTCCTCCTCAATATGATCAATTCCACCAATGAAGTTTCATGTTGACATTCTCAAAGACCTTTTGAATTATGCTCCTCTCAGGGTGAAAAAATTAAGTATTGAAAAAATACAAAGGACAATAACTTAAAAACTAGGGAAGGATTTTTTCCTCTTTTCCCACTCCCACACCTCATGAGTGAAAATCTTCTACCTATGAAGTTTTTGATCTAAAAGGCTTTTGTAGTTTTTAAGTTGAAACAATTTTGAGTTTAAAGCCCCGGGGAAAAAAATTTATGGAAAAAAACCCCAAAAAATTATAATGGTTTTAAAGTTACCCTTTTTTGTCCCAAAACCCCTTTCCCTCCTTAATAAGAATCTATCCACCTTTTAAAAGTTTCATTTTGAAAACCCAAATTTTTTTTTGGGTTTTTATGCCCCCACTCTGGTAAAAAATTCAGATAAAAAAGTAAACGGGGGGAATAAAAAAAAAAAAATTTTGGGGTGGGTTATTCACTTTTTTTGACTGCCACCCCCCCTGAGTAAAAATCTATCCCCCTTTAAGGGAAGGGTTCATTTTTTGATATCCCCAAAAAGGGCCTTTGTAGTAAAACTCTGGGACAAAAATTAAGTATGAAAAATAACAAAGGGCAATAACTGAAAAACAATGCACGGTAGGTTATCATTCTTGTGTGCTGCACTCCTCCTCAATGAGATCTATCCACCTATGAAGTTTCAAGTTATTTCCTCTAACACTTTTCAGATAAGCTCCGGACAAAAAGTATGAAAAATAACAAATGTCAATAACTCAAAAATTATAAAGGGTAGAATTAACATTCTTGTGCACAACATTCCTCCTTAATAAGATCTATCCACGTCCTATGAAGTTTCATGTTGACATTTCAAAAGCTTTTTTAGAGATATGCTCCACTCAGATGAAAAATTTAGTATGAAAAATAACAAAGGGCAATAACTCAAAAAATTATGAAGGGTAGAGTTATCACTCTTATGCACTGCACACCTCCTGAGTGAGATCTATACACCTATGAAGTTTCATGTTGATATCTCAAAGGCTTTTGTAGTTATACTCTGGGACAAAAATTTACTATGAAAAATAACGAAGGGCAATAACTGAAAAATTATGCACGGTCGGTTATCATTTTTGTGTGCAGCATCCTCCTCAATGAGATCTATCCACCTATGAAGTTTCAAGGTGTTACCTCTAACACTTTTTGAGATATGCTCCGGACAAAAAGTATGAAAAATAACAAATGTCAATAACTCAAAAAATTATAATGGGTACAGTTTATCATTCTTTTGTACAACATTCCTTTCCTCCTTAATAAGATATATCCACCTATGAAGTTTCATATTGACATCTCAAAGTTTTTTTTAGTTATGCTCCACTCAGGTGAAAAATAAAGTATGCAAAATTACAAAGGGCAATTTCTCAAAAAATATGAAGGGTAGAGTTATCACTTTATTTTGCACTGCACAATCTCCTGAGTGAGATCTATCCACCTATGAAGTTTTTTGTTGATATCTTAAAGGCTTTTTGAATTATGCTGTGGACAAAAATTAAGTTTGAAAAATAACAAAGGGCAATAACTGAAAAATTATGCAGGGTAGAATCATCATTTTTGTGCAATGTACTTCTCCTAAATATGATTTATCCACCTATGAAGTTTCAAGTTAATACCTCAAATAGTTTTTAAGATATGCTCCGGACAAAAATGGGGACGGAAGGACAGGCGGACGGACGGAGACTAATTTTATATCCCCCACCGCCTTTTCGGCGGGGGATAATTAAACATTCTCCAGCTCATATCTAAAGGAAACTCAGAATTTTGCTCACAATAATGAGACATGAATTCTGAATGAAGTTTGATGTTGTGTAAAAGACTGATTTTTGGACCAAATTAAGTTATTGCTTACTGTGAAACGCATATGTAAAATCCAAGTCTCATTTAAGAGAAAAAATGTTTTATTGCGCAAGAAAATGAAATTATTTTAAAAAAGACAATTAAAGCTCTTAATTGCAACTATAGAAACTTAGAAATGTAATGTTCAATAGATATTTTATACGTGAAAAAGATTTTGATTATCCATACAAACAAATACACAAATTAAAAAAACTTGTGAATTTCTCAAGTGTGTCGAAAGGATGTGCGGAAATGTGTTAATATAAAACGCTGATATTTCGCGTGTTGATAAAAATACTGTTTAGATTCTATATGATTTGAAGAAAAACTGTTTCTATGTAACTTTTCACGGAAATCATCCCAACCATCACTGGTTTCACCACGGTTGAGCTAAGGGTGATGCCGGTATTGTCCGGGGACGCCCCGGTAATGCGCCTAAGCTTCCCTGTTCAAGTTTATTAAAAACTAGAACTCCACGAGAGGGATGTGTCCCCTTGTGAACAGTATAGTTTAGGAGAAATGGCTAGTACAAAAATGAAACATAAAAATTAACTAAGGGCAATAACTCTAAAAAGGAGTGCAGAACAGCAGTTTCTGTGCACTAAACTTGTTATCAATAGGATCTATCATCCTATGAATTTATAAGTCCATAGCTTTTATAATTTATGAGAAATTATAAGCCCGGACAAAAATAAAGTATGAAAATTAATAAAGGGTAATAACTCATGAGTACCGGTTCTTGTACACTGCATTTTTTCTTAATGAGATCTATCATCCTATGAAGTTTCAAGTCCATAGCTTTTATACTTTGGACAAAAATAAAGTATGAAAATTAACACAGGGCAATAACTCCAAAAATAAGAAATGCAGAGTACTGGTTCTTGAGTACTGCACTTCTTAATGAGATCTATCATCCTATGAAGTTTCAAGTCGATAGCTTTTATACTGTAGGAGAAATGGCACGGACAGAAATAAAGTATGAAAATTAACAAAGGGCAATAACTCAAAAATTAAGAAGTGCAGAGTACCAGTTCTTGTGCCGAAAGGATGTGCGGAAATGTGTTAATATAAAACGCTGATATTTCGCGTGTTGATAAAAATACTGTTTAGATTCTATATGATTTGAAGAAAAACTGTTTCTATGTAACTTTTCACGGAAATCATCCCAACCATCACTGGTTTCACCACGGTTGAGCTAAGGGTGATGCCGGTATTGTCCCGGGGACGCCCCGGTAATGCGCCTAAGCTTCCCTGTTCAAGTTTATTAAAACTAGAACTCCATGAGAGGGATGTGTCCCCTTGTGAACAGTATAGTTTAGGAGAAATGGCTAGGACAAAAATGAAACATAAAAATTAACTAAGGGCAATAACTCTAAAAAGGAGTGCAGAACAGCAGTTTCTGTGCACTAAACTTGTTATCAATAAGATCTATCATCCTATGAATTTATAAGTCCATAGCTTTTATAATTTATGAGAAATTATAAGCCCGGACAAAAATAAAGTATGAAAATTAATAAAGGGTAATAACTCATGAGTACCGGTTCTTGTACACTGCATTTTTTTCTTAATGAGATCTATCATCCTATGAAGTTTCAAGTCCATAGCTTTTTATACTTTGGACAAAAATAAAGTATGAAAATTAACACAGGGCAATAACTCCAAAAATAAGAAATGCAGAGTACTGGTTCTTTGAGTACTGCACTTCTTAATGAGATCTATCATCCTATGAAGTTTCAAGTCGATAGCTTTTATACTGTAGGAGAAATGGCACGGACAGAAATAAAGTATGAAAATT